CCCGAGCCCCATGGAACATCATATGCCGCAGCCCACGAATGGCGGAACGCACGGCGTAATCTACACCCTGCGAAATGCTTAAGAAATCATGGGTTAAGAAATTCATAGTCTCAGAACTTGCATAACAGCCCAACATTTTTGTATCAAAATCTTAGGATTTACATTGAAACGTTAAGAATAATCGAGACTCTGGCCGAAAACTTAGGTTTTCGTAAGCATCGCCCAAGGTGTATGTCGCAACGCATGGCGCGGCCCTGGCGTAACCCGTGGCTCCACGGATGCTGTGTTTGCACGGGAGTGCCCACGCTGGCCCCGGAAGCGGCCTCGGCTGCAGAAGAGCAGAAGCAGGAGGAGGGGACAAGGAGGAGGCGGGAGAGGACGACGACGATAACAGGCAGGAGGGCGGGAGGACGGCGGGAGGGACGGCTGGAGAGGACAACGACGATAACAGACAGAAGTAGGAGGAGGGGACAAGTAGGAGGACGGGAGGAGGCGGGAGAGGACGATGCCGAGGAACAGGCCGACGGGGCCCGCCGTGTTTGGCCCTTTCCTTTCTAAGGATTTGCGCCCGGTGTGTGCTCGCCGTTTGGGCTGGCGCTGGGGCCAAGCGATGGTCTGTGTTGTGAGCGTCGTTGCCCGTACCCGTCATGAGCTTTATCCTCCCTTACCACCACCTCATCCCACTCCCTTCACTCCGTCCGCCTCCCCTCCCTCCTCCCCTCTCCCTTCTCTTCGCTCCGCCCGTTCCCCCCGTCCCTCAGTTCCTGCATCGCTCCTCCATTCTCATGTCCCTTCCCATCCCCCTCCCTCCCCTCTCGGAACCCGTCCCTCCCCCCTTTCTGTCGTCGCTCCTCCCTCCATCATCTCCCTCCCTCCCAACGCTTTCCGTCATTCCCCGTTCCCTCTCTCACTCCCGTTTGCGTCGTCACCCTCCGCCCCCATCCCTCCCCTTCTCCCTCGTTCCCACTCTCACCCCAGCCATCGTTGCGCGCCCGCCATCCCTCCCTCATTCCCGCTCTTGCGTCGCCCCCCTATCCCGCCAACCCGTTCCCAAAGCTGCCGCCACCGTCCCCCTTCCCCCTTGTATTCTGCTTCGTCCGTCTCGTCGTGTTTCTCCTGACGGTCGCTGGGGCGGGCAAGGAGGTGGAGAGGGGGAGGGGGGGGGGGGGGGCCAGCGCTCACGAGGGCGGGGCGACTGCGAGCACGCTCGTGCGCGCTCTTCGGGGAATTGTGGGGACGATGTCGGGGGCAACGACTGCGGCCGCAGGGAAATAGGCATCGGATGGGACCGCACGAAAGCCGCCATCGTGAACTTTGCGTACTCGCGCTGAGTAGCGCGAGCAGCGCAAGTAGCACACAGCGTCGTATGCGTGTTGCTAGTGTTATTGTGTGGTGCCATGCGCTATGGGTTGCCATCGTGTCCACCCGCCGAGAATACTACAATGTAGAACAAACGGTGACAAGCGATGACAAACTATAACGTGGTATCATGTGTGATCGTCTGTTCAAAAGACCAGAACGCATATATATATATATATATATATATATATATACGTATACATAAGTACACTAGAACAACGCGCGCGCTTCTCGCGCGCGTAGGTTCTAGCGCGATCGCTCCCGATTGCAAAATCGACGCGGGCGGGAAAGGAGGGCGTCCTCGACGACGACGACGTAGAGGACGGGCACGACAACGGCGACAACGACCAACGGGGACGTCTTGCTTCGGCTTTCACGCGTCGCTTTGTGCCGGCGCCGGGTTTCTTCGAACGATGTTGTGACCATTATCGTTGAACTCTTCCGCTGTCTTCTGTTCCTCCTTCTTCGTCCCCACGTCCTCGCCCCCCTCGCTACACCTCGTCCTCCACCTCTTCCCCTCCTCCTCTTCTTCTTCTCTCGCCTTCTCTGTGTGTTCCTCCTTCTCTCTCCGCTCTCCTCGTTCTTCTTCTCCCATGCCTCCTCCTCCTCTTCCTCCCCCTCCCCTTCCCTCCCCCCCCCTCTCCCTGCTGCTCTGCGTCCTCCTCACCCTGCACCTCCTGCGCCTACCCGTCCTCTTGCGCCTCCTTCCCTCCCTCCCCTTTCTTCTCTGCCTCTTCCTCTTCCTCCTCCTCCTTTTCTTCCTCCCCTTGCTCTTCCTCCTGCTGCTCCTTCGTATCCCCCTTCTTCCTGCTGCTCCTCCTCCTCCTCATCCTGCTGTTCCGCCTCCTCCTCCTGATCCTGCTCCTCCTCCTCCGCCTCCTCCTCCTCCTCCTCCTCCTCCCCCTCCTCCCCCTCTTCCTTCTCGTCCTTTTCTCCCCCCATCCTCCTTCTCCTCCCCCCGCCCCCCCATCCCTGCTCCATATAAACAAGTTTTCCCTGTCGCGCCACGCGGCCAGCTTCTAGGGGCAGACTGGGCGTTCCGCTCGAGACTTCCTCGTCGTTTGCTCCTCCATCCTCGCGGATGGAGAAAGCGGGTCGTCCTCCGAATTCGGTTCCTGCCTCAGCGCCGCGCGCAGTCTTT